ACCCTAAACCCTAAACCGTGTTCCACAGCTCTTCTTCTGGTCGGCTCCCCAGAGCCCGAGCTGTCGTCTTTCCTTTTCAAGGCCGAGGAGGGCCCCCTTCTTTTTTGTAGGGGTAGCATCGGTTCCACAAAGCACGGCTGAGTATTCATGCTATTGTCTTGGGTGGTATTGAAAAATATAAAAATGAGGACCGAAGAGCGGATACGAGCGCCAAGAACAATAACACCCTGTAGTACCGCTTAATGAGGGTTGCATGGTCTCAAGCTTGTCGGGGTGTATCGCAATGATGTCCGAGGCCCCAGAGAGTACGTCACTCTAATAGCTACGACCCTCAAATGAAAGTACCCAGGACCTAAAAGATGAGGCAACAGATTTCCAAATCGAGGGTTCAGGGCTGTGTTGGTATTTATACTACTCGATAGGGGTGTAGTGCTTCGGGGTTTCGGGCGTCGGGGGTTAGGGTTTACTTCAATGGGATCCCATGATCTCCATTCGCTCCTCTGGCAATTCCTGGCCGGATCTACCCTACCCAATAGCGATCTGCATAGACATGCGACCTACTGCCGCGCTTATAATAACTGACATACAGTTGTATTAGACCTCGCTTTGTCAGGGCTTTGGTGACTAAGTATCACTCTGTGTTGCTTGGGGTTCCATAGAACGAAAGGAGTCCCACATTTCCTGAGAAAGCCACACGAGTGCTGCCAAGTCCAACCTGTAGAATCCAAACGAATCTCCCCCCACTCAAACGATCCCGCACCCCTCCAGCCGCAAAAAACCCTTGGTACAGAACCGTAATCCCCAAACGCAAACCTTACAAACCCTAAGCCCCAAACCCTAANNAAACCCTAAACCCTAATCCCTCAAGTCCGTAGACCCTTGTAGAGTCCTTAGAGTACCAAACCCATGGTAACACTGCCAGCCTTCTTGCCGGCGTAGCGCCCCTCGGGAAGGATTCCGCACGTTCCCCGTCAACCCAAAACAACAACAGCCGTTAACGTAGGGGCCTTCATAATTAGAATAGGGTTCTGGGGGCCATTATGCTACATAAGGAACCCCCAAAAGAGTATAGGCAATTATTGAGGCCCCTATATTATAGATCAGGGCAATGTATCCCAAGCCTTGATTCGAGTACCCACGAACCATCCCTGAGCCTAAAACCTCTAGTTTCCGATGCTATAAATAAAACCTTACAGGGCCCCTATAGTTTCGTGCGGGTTTCTATGCTATGCTATGCAGAATCTAAGTTCGGGCTTAGGGTTTAGGAGAGCTTTGAGAGCTTAGGGTCTAGGGTGCAAGGGAGTAGGTACTGCTGCTACAGTAGTGCTGCTAGTGCCAGTACTACTGATGCTGCTACTCCTACGAAGAAGGCTGCTGGTACATACAGCCCAGCCCGTCCCAGCTCGAAGCTCTCAGGTGTCGAGTTTTGGCTTGTCCAAGATCGTTCTGTTGCTGAGCGAAAGCAGGAGCAGGTCATGATGGGAAACGTGGATGTTTCATAAAGGACATCACTGAAGCATTGCACACCTCAACCATCAACAACACGCTAAATCCAGCCTCCAAACTTCCAAACCTCAAAGCCTTGAACCCCAAAACCCTAAAAACTCCAAATCCCCGCCAAACACCGAACCCCCCCCCTGGGCGCCTGCAACATCACGACAACCCTCCCGGCTTTCAGGAACTTTCCTCAGATTCACACAGGGCCCTTTAAAGGGTCAGAGGAGCTAGGATTTGGGCCTTTCGTTTATGTTTAGCGCGGGGTTAGCTAACCGTGCTGATACCGAAATCCTAAAGCCTTACTCACTCTACAGTCCTCCCTCACCCAACTGCGGGCTATCTCAAGCACTTCGGAGTCTTGCGAAACACACATATGTCACCATTATGAGAGGCACTGTCAAGATGCTCTGCAAAGCCGCCAACGCCTAAACCCTGAACCCTAAACCCAACATGGACTGATGGGCTCCTATAGTGCCTATTCGAGTCAGCCCGGCTGTTTCCGAAAGAACAAAAAAACCTGCTGCCCATAGAGAAATCCCTCGCGCTCTTAATGGCTTAGGGGTTTGGGAGATGTTGGTTTAGGGAGATCTTGGTTTAAGGTTCAAGGTTTAGGAGTTTTGCATTGAGTGAGTAAGGGTTTAGGACCCGACATAGCCCAAGCTTACGATTTCCTGGCCTGTCGAGAACCACAACACCCGATGCAGGATGAATATCGGAGTATTCGAACCCCAAACAAACCCAATCCGTCGAAATTCCCACTTTTTCTTCGATGTCCTTAACTGATGATTAGTCCTGGCGGGAAATCAAAGAAGTACTCAGGCAACACTACGACTACGGGGACTAGTACGCTTAACAAACGCGGCCCAACAAAAACTTGAAACCCATGTCTGGTGGCCCATGCTTGTAGCTGCGCGAGGGCGACCCCTTTCTCTCCGCCTGAACTCAGCTCGAGCCTGAGAGCCATCGCGCAAGACCAGACCTCTCCATCTCCGCAGGCTTCAGATTTAGGGAAGTTTAGGGTTTGGGGTTTGCCTGGACCCTTTTTCAGCATGGGCTTGGATTGTGTGCCAGCGAACACACCTCAACTAAAGAACCTACCGGTTCAAGGACTTGTGTCTAAGGAAACCACTTATAAGGAACCCTGAAGAAGGTACTGTAGGAGAAGGTAGGGTCTCTTTGGATCCAGGTAGGAGCTCGGTCTCTGGAGCTTCTTGCAGGGCATGTATCACCGGCACCAGAACGACCACAAGGCTTCAGGGTTAAGACGGGCTAAGGGCTTATAATAGGATGTATCTATAGGGTTTAGGGGCACCCATCATCATCACCATGAGTACCATCCGGTTCCGTCATCATCGTAATCACTGTTACCGTGCCTCAACATCGTTGTCTGTGCCGTAGTCGTCGGCGAGCACCACCACAAATGCCTTTAACACCACTACCTGGGCATCCTGCAGCGACGGTACCCACACTGACAGCAACAACAGCTTCATCGTCGTCCTTGCTTAAATACCCTAAACATCCACAAACGTTATAGCCCAAACAGCATCACCATATCCCGTGCTATCGCCATAAATCATCATCACGTGTCTCTTGGTCTTAGCCCCTCGGCATCGTCATCATGCGTCCCCTTTCTCGACTCTTTTCCATTCCCATCATGCCCATCTAACGGCAGCCGAAGGCAGCAACTCAGCACCAGTGGTATGTTAGGGTATTTGATTAACATTGTTGTAGCTGCACCTAATTCAAGATACCCCAGAACCCTTACAGAAACCCTCAAAGCCCGAAAAGAAATCCAGCCAAACCAGCAAAGGGGCAGACGCGCTTCTTTTCACCGTGGGTGCCCGCGCCAACTGGAAGCCTGCGGCTTTCAAGCGCTGGCCATGGTGGGGCCCTTGGTGCCAGTGACCTCGTGAAGTCTCGGATATGGGCGGAGGGGGGTGAGGGGCATTGATGAATAGAATGGGGTTCTGGGGATTTGGTATACAAAAACTATGACAAGGAGGTTCGTAACCAATTTTCGGGCTTGAATACCTCGTCGAAGTCGTCTTGATGCTAGGTCACAAACTACTAGATGAGGCTCGGAACACATGCCTTCCTCAGATCACGAGGTTCAATCCCTAATCCCTAAACCCTAAACCCTAAACTTCCACACCACGGCGACAGACACAAAGCCGATGCAGCCAAAAGGCCAGCTGCTTGAGACTCTCTTTTCATACATACGTCAATACTCAGGATACTGTTGATGGACAAAATCCTGCATGACCTTATTTTCCTAACTATGGGATTTATGGTACTCTTCTATATTTGGGTCATGACGAATTTTGTCCATCAACCGTATGGAACCGTGCACACAAAAACTGCACTCCTGCCAAAACCCAACGGAGATAATCAGATGCGGATATGTGATGTGCACATTCACTCTCAAAACGCACATACGGCGACAGGGAGACAGGGAGAGAGCGAGAGAGAGAACGACAGAAACAAATACAAAACGAACGAAATAAAAAATAAATAACGAAAAAATGAAGAAATGAATGACGAACGAGAGAAATATGTAAATAAAGAAAGCAAGAACGAAATAAATAAAAACAGAAATTACGAGAGAAAGACACAAACACACACGTCTGCATGCACTAGAACGAACACTCAGGACGCACATATTTGGCTGCATGATGCAACAGCGGCTCACCTTGCCCAGGAATCGCGCAACACCGAGGCGAGACGGCAAGGAGTCAAGTAAATGATCGCAAGCCATTCCACCTTCCTGGTGTCGTGAGCGACAGCTCAATTACCTGAACGGCAGTCTGAAGGGACTCTATATATATGTATATATATATATAAGCATATATATATATATAATATGTACAAGATGTATGTATATATATATATATGTATACAATATCTGTCAGAGTATATCATAGTATAACTGAAACTCTAAAACCATGCGAGGGTCAGTTGTGGCTACATGATAACGATTTCGATGTTGAAGGATTTCCGTATGCGGTTTCGGCACTCGCACTGAATAGCTCAGCCAGCTAAGTCTAAGCATGAGAAGCTGCAACTGCTACCGCGGAGTATAGAAGCTTAGCGCGATTAGGGCTCAGGACGTTGAAGTCTGAAATCTAGTCGCTCCCAGTTCGGCTTCAGGTCCGGGCACATAGTGTTGCAGAGATTGAAGGCACCCTCAACGGACCTCATATACTGGCCGCTACTCGCCCTTAAAGGAACCCGTAGAGGAAGACGGATAGGAAGCCTGATTGTCAGACCGTCGGGCATATGTTCCCGGAAGCCAGACCCACTTTCACCCAACAAACAGGGTTTAGGGTTTAGGGTTCAATGATGGAGAAGTTGCTTTGAAACAAGTGGTGGCAACGTCAATCTGTGAGAGCCACGAACCCAGCCGAGAGTCGCTTGCGCTTCGTGGGCACCTGCTGCAGACTCCCGTCTCGATATGGAAGCAGCGGCTTGCACCGTGGTTGGCAAGAAGAAGTCATGTGTAACAACTAAGCGGGGCCAAATTCCAAGTACGATGACAGAAAGACTTCCATTCTTAGCAAGTTCATGATTTATGAATATGAAGGTATAGGGGCCAGTACAGAGCTGATCACACTTCCCAAAAGCCTTAATATATGAGTCCTTAGATCCCTAGGGTTCGACACCCTACAACCACCTAGAAGACTGCAAGCATGATGCTGTCAGAAAAAAATCGTGACTGGAAGCCTGATCTGCCCATACCGCATGGCGAAACTCCCAGTTCCGGGGATCATGGCGTATGAAGACCTGAAAACACCCGAGTTTGCGGTTGCCCTTAAGGCCCCAAACCCCGGGAGCAAACCTAAATAAGTACCAATTCTATTCTGGGGGGCTCCTTGTTATAAGTATAGTATAATCTACCCCAAAACCCTCTTCTAATCATTAAGACCCGTCTGTTAGCTTGGTGGCTTGGTGGTTTGCATGCATCTGGCAGCCGAGCCGCACTGCAGAAGTCCAGCTCCTGCTGCCTTGCAGGATCTGAGGTCGAAAGCCCAAGCCGAAAAGCTACTGTACAGGGTTTAGGGTTTAGGGAGGGAGCAAGCAAAAGTGTTGGGTCCTCCTTAATATTTGCAGAACGTTTGGGGCTCTGGCTTGTTCCAGGTGCAGTGCACCTTCAACGCCAAGAGGGGCTCCACATACGGCCCCTTTCGACATCCACATCCGCCTCTGTGCCAAACATTCCAGCACTCCGAACCCAAACACCAAACCCCAGTCCATACTTGGTGTTTAGGGTGTAGGAAAACCCTAAACCCTAAACCCTGAAAATCCGGGAGGCGTAACTCTGAATGCGTTAAACACCCTGCAGCAACAACCCGAAATGCATTGACACCCCTAAACCCCAAACCCTACAGCTTCATAATTCCTAACTGTAATGGCCCAATCAAACGAAATGAACCAAGCGTGGCATAGTTCTGCCAAACCACACATCACCAAATACCTATATTCTCCATTGTAATTCCTTTTGGGGGCTTAGCCATGCCTACATATGTAGAGAATCCTATAAGGGAACTGTACCCAAAGAAGGAACGATAATACAATGGAGACTATAGGCATGTAGTAGAAACCCTAAACCCCATAAACCCTAAAACCCTACACCCCTAAACCCCTAAAGCCCTTTTTTGCAGCGGGCTTGCCTCGACGCCCGGGGGCTCCCTCTGCTTCGGCACACGAGAACGTGTGCCGAAGCAGAGACGAGCACACGAAACCGCTGGAACTCATGCCAGTCGCTTCAAGCGCTCGTGCCAAGCATCAGGAACTATATCACACAAGAAAACTAGGGAGTACGTGTTGTGGAAATGGGAGCAAATCTGAAGGAAGTCACTGTTGAAAGCATCATACACCCAGGAAGGCACATGGCCATGAACCAAAAGCCCAGACCACTCCATTCTCAGATATCGTAACCACAAATCTAGAACCTGCGTGAGGCACCCTTGTCTATACGGAACAGCTGCATGCCATGTGTCACGTCCAACCAAGAAATGTACCATGCGTAAGTGTCATCAGACGTGGCTTCCGGCCAAATGTGGCATGGCAGCCGCCACGACACATGCAGTCTGAGAGTGTCACGCCAACGGGGGGCTGAACTCTCACGAAAGGCCGCATGTACTTGAGTGAACTCCGAAACAACCTGGTCGGTACATGCTTGCCACGCCTTCCTGTCGGCCGCACACTCTCGCATGCCAACATCAAGTTGCGTAGCAGATGCATGAGTGTGGAAATGTTTCATTCGTTCAGTGCCCCACTTACAAAGGTGATTCCAAGGTCCTGGAACAGCCTGCTTGGTTCGAAGCAATTGCAGTGCCGAATCTTTGGTGACGTGATCGTCCGGATACCGCAACATGTGGCCTAGATAACTCCACTTGCGCCGAACCCATATAGCAACCCACTGCAGATGAGGACAAAGACCTAGCAGAACTAGGACGCAACGTCGCCGCACTCTGTGAAGATGCACTGCAGCTTCATGGGAGAGCTCCGCTGGGATGTACAGTCCCAACATCATGACGAGTATGGTGACCTGAAGTTGATGCACAACCCCCACATACTTTGCAAGAGGCTCCATGAGAGGAGAATTCCAGAACCAAGTCGACCCTATGTAAGTATTGCAAAGCTTCAAAGTGCCATCAGGGTTTCCCCAGTACCCACGTCTTAAAGCCTTGTGTAGCCCCTCGTATGCCGTGTGCGAAGCTCTTCCCATCGCAGCCAAAAGTATGGAGGTCACATCTGGGAACCCTGTGCCGGTGGATTGGGCCCCCACTTCAAAGTGCACAAGCTCCTTCCGAAGGTAGTGGCAGGAAGTGCTCCACTCAAGTTTCGGTACAATGCTGCCCTCAGCAAACGGGAAAAGGGCTCCTGCAGTCAGTATTGTAGAGTGCGACATAATCTTGGTCTTCTTCATGTTCAGCGCGAGTCCGAGAGAGCTGAGGCACGTCTGCAGTTGTGGGATGAGCCTTGCGGCCTGGCTCCAATCTTGGAATGTAAACAAGAGGTCGTCCATGAAGGCAATGCCAAAGGTACGATGCAAACTGACTTCCTTTTGCTTAACCCATTCCTGTTCTAGCCTCTCTATGGCAAGCCCGAGTATATATGAGAAAATGACGGCTGAGCTGCATGGCCCGTATGCATGATGACTGGGGCTCATGGTGCCGTCGACATGGTATGACAGTACAGTGGCCTGCGTGGAGGAGCAGTGGAAGCACCTGCCCTTGTGGAGGCACGCCGAAGGCCCCCGGACTGAGAGTGGTCCACTGCAACGGCCCAGCCTTTACGACACCGTTCACTGCTGCAAGCTGGATCGTGATGCCCTTGCGTGCAAGGCACTCCAGCAAGGCAAGTTTCAGCACAAAGTCCTTGACTTCTCGGGCTGACTTGAGGCGCTTGGCCATCTTGATGGCTGGTCTCCAGTGTTGCAGGCTGTGGTGCAGGGAGTGGCCGTGGCAAAGAGGAAAGGTCGAGCAAGGCTGGAATGTCATGTATGCAATGGCCAGGGGCTGAGACATGTGGCAAGGAACGCAGCTCAGTCGGACTCAATGTGCGGTGCCACAGAGTCACAGCTCCCTGCTGGCTGTCAGGAATGCCGTCCACTGCAAGTCTACTTGCTTGATGCAGCGCCTGGAGGATATTATCCATGGTAATATCCTCGAGCCCGTGCTGCGCAATTAGCCTGCCTGTCAAGTGTTCACCGTCAGAGGCTTCCTCTTCCGTGGAATTGTCCGGATTGAACATTGCTGGAGAGACCCCTGCTTCTACCTGCAAGCTGGCAGGGAGCGGAGAGTGCATGACATTAGGTGCCTGAGTCATCAACACTCCGTCCGCAGTATTGTTGGGTCGGACAAAGGCAAAGAGATTGTTGCTCGCCGCCACCCAGGTCAATTCTTGGGTGAGTCCTCCTTCCCGGAAGACCTTCGTCTCTGCGTGTGATGAATGGGCAGCCAGGTAGCGTAGTGACAAATTAAGTCCAAGCTTTTTGGCAAGCCACCTGCACGTCCGAAACACGCAATCTGCGCTGGAAGGCTGAAAGGGCTTCAACTCTTCTGGCAACAGATGCTCCAAGTCTTCAGTGCAGGTACAGACACGTCGATGTTCAATGTACACGGCTAGAGTGTACCCTGACATGCGTTGCAAGGCGGATGCGGCACTTGCCTCTAGAGTAGAAGGCAACACGAACATAGATCGAGGTGGAAACCCGAATTCCAGCGGTACCAGTTGCAGAATAGAGCCTCCCTCAGTGCAGAACACATTCACTCTTACTACGGACGGGGCGGCTGCCTCAAAGAGCAAATTCTGATGGAGCACTCGGAAGTAGCTGAAGTGATGCACCGCGCCTCCTCTCTTGCAGAGGAAGGGTAGCTGAGAACGCCAGTCTGCTTGGCGAAAACTAGGCTCATGGAGAAGTGACATGACACAGTCGTAGTCGCGATGAAGCAAGTCGTCAATTCCCTTTGCAGGGAGTTCCTCTCCTTGCCTGAGCCTGTCCTGCCAGCCTGGCGTGTGCAAAATTCTGAAAACCAATTCGAAGAACAGCCCAGCTTTTTCTTCTGCAAGGCCGAAGTGGCCAAGCAACTTCAGAGGCACGCCAAAGAACCTGAGACAAATGACGTGGCCACGTGCAGCCTCCTCGGCAAGGGGCTCTAGGAAGGAACAGATGCCGAATGCCCTGCAGAACTCTTCCATCCGTGGCAGGAGGAACGGGGCCTCAACATGTGGTTCCTGCAGTCGAATCACTCCGGGATGTTGCAAAATGGCCACGCCGTCTCTCGTTCTGCCAATCTTGCCTTTTCTTTGTTGCACTTCCTGTATGGAGGGTGGACCCACATGCGGCACTCCTCCACGGAAAAAGAGACTAGTCCTTCCTGAGACTAAGACCGCCAAGCCTGGAAGTGTGAGCCCTCTGGTGAGTTCGGTTGACACATAGCCGTCGGCGTATGGATCGACCGACACACCGCTCCACAACATTTGAGGAGAGAAGCCAGAAACCTCGAGTCTGGTGGCGGTCTTCATCACTGCAGCCCTCAAGCCCTAAACCCTAAACCCTAAAACCCTAAAACCCCTAACACCCCTAAACCCTAAACCTTAAAACCCCTCGAACCCTAAAAACCCCTAAACCCGATAGAGCTTATGCCGCCGCGTTGCAGCTCACTGAGGTGCATGGCCCCGAGCTCGGAGCTCAGGCCATCTCTCCTTCGTCTGCTGGCATTTAAAAGGGGGTTTGGGGCCTTTTAAGTGGGTTTAGGGTTAGGGGTTTAGGGGTTTAGGTTTTAGGGGTTTAGGGTTTAGGGGTTTAGGGTTTAGGGCTTAGGGTTTAGGGGGTTGACTTATATGGTCTAATTAGGGTGGATCGTATATAACCGGGTGTATTCAGGATTCTGAAGGTCCTACAATCAGAAAGTTTGGAGGTGGAAGGATCGATACCGTGTGATGATGCTAGCCGGTTCCGACGATCAGGTCGCAAAGAGAGATCGTCTCGGAGTCGAGGGGCCCCTAAACCCTAAACCCCTAAACCCCAAACCCTAAATGACCTCAAGTGGCACTTGTGTGTGGGGTTTGGGGGAGAAGGTTTTGGGATTGAGTTGAGCGTTTTTGGGGGTTTGGATGTAGGACAAGCAGAGTCGCCACAAGTAGTATGGCACAAGGAACTGATCGCGCTGGATGTCGTGAGACCTCGGCTGGATGCCCCGATATTGCCTGGAAAGCATTTAACATAGCGATGCGCATGCAGATGTGCGGTCTGAGAGGACTCTTGCCGACAGCCTCTGAACGGGCCGAATCTTCAACTTTCCCCTTGTAATAACACTAACTTGTGAACGTCAGAATGCCTTTACCACAAGCTTGCGGCCATTCACGAGAAGGCCCAAGCTAGAGATGTACAGTAGGCAGTTGTTGCTTTGCTTGCAGGATATGTGTGTGTGTGTAGTATTTCTTTCTGGGTGACTGGTCGGCGGGCTGGTGCCATAGAGACGGCCGCTAGAAACTGCTAAAGATCCCTGCCACAAGCGACTATACTATACTGAGTGTATCCCTTCCTGCTGTTGCTGCAGCTCATGTCCACTCTCTGGTCTTCCCCTTGTCATAGCAATGCAGGGTTTAGGGCCTAGGGTTTCGTGATTTTGGAGCCAAAGGGCATGTTGTACGTTCTCTCGAATGCTGTCTTCACATCCCCTGCGCGCTCGTGATTCAGGTTCCGGAAGATCACGCAGCTTTCGAAGTAATGCAACCTGGACCGGGGGTTGATGATTCGAGGCCTAAGTAATTACCAGTACTATTTTGGGGGCTCCTTATTATGATTGTTGGGGTTTAGGGTTTAGGACTAATATGGACGTTGATCAAGCTGTCAATTGCAGGGGGGATTGCAGGGTTTCGGCAGGAAGGAGAGTAGCGAGAGGCTTGTGTGCTGTGGCACCCGACGTTTATCTGAGGATTGGCCCTTGACAGTTCCCTTGTTGCGGAGTCTCCGACACTTGGGGCTTGAGGGCTAACTAGCGTTCCTTCGCTCTTGGTAGCATGCAGCTTTGAGTACCACGATATCTTGAGGCTGCAACAGACTTCCACAGGCGACAATTAGACAGTGAGTAGAACCTGCGAGAAGCGAGACACCACCATGAAGACGACGCTCTACGACGGTAGAGCTGGCACTGTTTCTGCAGTATCAAGTAGGGTCCCAGCAATCCAGGCCAAAACTGGGTTCTTGTTAAGGGATTTAATTTAAGTTACCATAATAAGGAAACCATATTATTTACTATAGATCCCCAGTATGGCAACTTAAACTAAATCCCTTAACAAGAACCCAGAAAATGACCGCACTTGTGAACTTCGAAGAACGGGGTTGGGGTCAGCTCTCGGAATAAATCGGCTTCGAAGTGGTGTTCAAACTGCTAGCGACACCACAAGCCCTGCTTAATCCAAGCGACCCCGCTGCAGAGGCTTTACAGCAGTAAAGGTATCTGCATCGGCTTGAGGCTTAATCAAGGTTTCTCGAGTCAAGGGCTTGTAGTAGAAGTCAGAAAAATGGAACGTGATTATCCTCATGCCCTTAAGGTAAAGTATTAGGGATCCTAGCACTAATCCTTCTAAACCCATGTTCCAACTTTCTGGGATTCGCTGTAAATGGCCCTCACATGGGGATACAGCCTGAACCCTGAGCCAAACATGACGTCAAAGGAAGCCCTCTGAGTACTGATACCCAAACCCTAAAAGCAAACACATCTGCCCATACCCCCCCTTGAATCCCCCAAAATCCTGAACCCTAAGCCCTAACTCCTAAACCTCAAGCCCTTAATCCTAAACCCTACAGCACAGTACAGCCTAACACTATAGGCCCTAGGAAATCGAGAGGCTCGTAGTCTCCAACGCTACTACCCTAAATCCTTGAGTCCCTTCGGCCTATCATAGCCCCAATCCCCGAAAGTGCTTAAGCCCTGGAGCCTAAACACCCCAAAAACAACAAGCATATGACATTCCGGAGAATTGACATGTCGCTGAAAGTCATCCAAAATAGCACCCAGGCTCTTCTAAAACCTAAAATAATCCTAAGCCCTATAAACCCTAAACACTATAACTCCTAAACCCTAAGCCCTAAACTAAACCTCTGCATATCAACTCCCAACCCTCCACTCAAGGCTCGACTTCGTAAACGTCATCATGTGAGGTCCAGGGCTTCGAGGTTTAGGTTTTGTATTGGTTTAGGATGGTTTAGGGCTTGAGTGTATTAGAGCTTCAGGGCCCTAGGTTTGGGTTTTAGGTTTGATGGTTATAGGGTTTAGGGTCCAGGGTTTTAAGGCTTCAGGGCTTTAGGTTTAGGGCTTGAGGGTTTTTGGGTTTACCCAGACCCTAAATAAAGAACCTTTCCTTTTAAGGACTTGTGTAAGGAAATCATAATAAGGAACTTTGGGATAGACAAAAAAAATCCGGGTTAGGGTTTAGGGTTGAGGGTTTGGGGTTTAGGGGAGTTGCAATTTTGATAGGTTATTGCTTTAGGATGCTTTAGGGCCTTAGGGTTTAGGGTTTAGGGTTTAGGGTTTCTACGTATCATGAAGCAGCCATGGCAACAACGGCCGAAGTTTACACTTGCCCTTCCTCTTTTCCCGAAAAGGCCACCAAAATCCCTAGCATAAGCCCTACCTTCAGGTGGGACTTTACGGTGTTTAGGTTTTCAGGGTTCAGGGTTCAGGGTTTAGGGTTTAGGGTTTAGGGTTTAGGGTTTAGGGTTGAAGGTTTGACTTCTGAACCCCTCCTACAAGTTGGACTTGTAGCCTACTTATCCTTTAAGCCCAGTACCCTGGCCCAAAACAGTTTAAACTTTTCTTTTAGTAGGGGGTTTAATGTACCAAAAAGTTTATAGTTCGCCTACTGGGCTCCTAAGTTATTATATTTCGTAAAGGAAACCCAAAAAGTTAAAGTCCTAAGCGCCAACCAGAAGAACGCCAAGTGGAGATTGAGGATTCGCTGTAAGGCTTGGCTCCATAGTAGTTCCTTTTTGGAATACCTTTTAGGATCCTAATACAAACCCCAAAAAGGAACTACAATGGAGCCTATAGGTGAGGAGAGAGTGCGGAGTTATATTGCGAGGCCCGGGCGGAGTAAATGGCTTTGCGGCCTGATGCATGGCAGTCATCAAGTCCTGGTTTGCAGGCAAGATTTCAGGTCACCAAGGCTTCGGCTGAATGATGGGCCCATCGGGACTTGGAGCTGGATCTCATGGAAACGCAGTGTGAGCCATCATGCTCGCAGGCGTCACACAGAAATTACCGGAAGGCAGGGCCTCTAAAGCTCATGATTTCGCACAATTTGCAATGAGTACGCATCTCTTGAGCCCTGAAGAATTCCAGATGCAGCATGCCGCGGGCCTTCCAATGCTCGATGTTCTTGCGCGAGGATCGAACATACTCCGGACCTCCCAACGAACAAAGTAGCTGGGAGAAGGGGGTGGGTTTACGGTCACTGATTGGCACGCCAGGTTTCTTTATGAAACTCCTGGGAGACATGTGCCTTAGCATGCTTCTAGGGCAGATGAGCACTGCGGTTGAACTGTCACGTCCGGGGTTGAGGAGGGGAGGCTCGAGGAACTGGATGAGAGGTCACAGGGGTTGAAGTGCGGTTTTGGGGGCTTTCATTGGAGATGCAAAATCGGGGGCTTTCATTGGAGATGCAAAATTCATTGCAAGTGCGGTCCCACTTTGGTGAAGACTTCCTACGTGTGAAAGCAGTCCAAGCGTTCGCAAGTCTACGACCCCTACAGTTGCTTCAGCAAGGCAGAAGCCCTGAATGCCGAATAGACCCCTTTGTCACAACACACACACACACACATTCCGATCTGCCATGCCGGACTTGCTGCTTCAAAAGGGTCAGGGCTAGAGCAAGACAGGCCATGGTAGCTACACTTAACTAGCTAGATTTTGCCTGTACATAGACCTACATATTTAAGCTACTGTAAGCCGTGCATACCAGTACCCATGGACATAAAACCCTAAACCCTGGAGCCTGACCCTAAAAGACTAAACACTGCCTAAACCCTACCCAAAGGGTCCTAAGGACCTCTTTAGTAGAATGTAGGGTTTCTATATAAGGAATTACTTTTATGGTTTGGGTAAGTATCCCTCATAATGTCAAATATAGGTACTTAGGACCCTTTGGGCTAACCCTAAACCCCTTTTACACCTGGACTACGCATATGCCAGGAACCAAGGCGCCCACTGTGCCCCTAAACCCTAAACCCTAAACCCTACCCTAAACCCTAAACCCTAAACCCTAAACCCTAAACCCCAAACTCTAAACCCAAAACCGTGGCTCACCCACAGGAAGGATTCTGGAAAGAGAAGCTTCGGAGGCTTTCCGAGGCACGCTTTGTCAGCATGTCGTCCATCTCCCAGAGCATGCCTCAGTGTGCTTTGCTGAGTTTTAGGGGTTTAGGGTTTAGGGTTTAGGGTTTAGGGTATTTAGGGTTTAGGGTTTAGTTTTGCTGAGTTTTAGGGTTTAGGGTTTAGGGTATTTAGGGTTTAGGGTTTAGCTTTGCTGAGTTTTAGGGTTTAGGGTTTCGTCTTGCAGTCCCGCACATGCGGGACGTGCGTGATGTGCTCCCACTTGGAACGAAGTCATTACTGCAGATAATCCCAAATGCCCAGATCAGACCCGAGAAACGAAATTCGATATTGCCAAAACCTTTGAGCCCGAGCTGTGGACCCGAAAACATCCAAATCCCCAAACGCCGCAAATCCAAAACATAAGCCTGAGCTGCAGTCGAACGCGTCGTTATCGCAGTTCCTCCAGTACCACTTCCTCAGCTACAGCTTTCTCAAGTCAAGAGCCAGCGACGTGGAGCAAGCAGTGCAACACCGTACACCCTAAACCTCCTGCCACAACATCGAAAACCAGGCCAGAGAGGCCTTCTACCATGCAGGGGCAAGCTTTGAGCATGCCAAGCGTCAGCATCAACAGCGGCCTTTCGTCAAGGGCAAAGCCGAGCAAGTCCAATTGAACTAATTTAGGGTTCTACTAATAGGGTTTTGGGGCTCCTTATCATTATACTACAAGTATAATAAGGTAGTGATGATTTAGGCCCTTTATTGGTCTTGTGCTAGAGGCTCTGAGGAAGCTGCATTCGACAGTAAGACAGGCTGTTGCTGCATACACAAGCAAGTCTTCCAAAATATCCTTGCGCCACCTGCCTGTATAACTGCTCCAAGATTCCATGGACTCCCAACCACCCTCATATCGTCTCCCAGACATGCTGGACACACTCCCGAAACGGCGGGGGAGCAAATTCTGGGCCGGGGACTTGTTGTCGTGATTCGAAAGAAACTCGGGCAGCTTCTGCAAATTGATCGTCATATCGTGATCCTGAGCACGTGGCTAGACTATGCCAACCTACAGAGCAGTCTGCAGAAGGTTTTGGGCCGAGGCATAATAGCGCTTTTTCCCATCAGATTCGCTCCAAGCAAGGAATAGGCAACACGGACTGACTTTATACTGCAGAACCGACCCGAAGCACTATGAAGTCGAACGGCGCCCGGCTGACAACCCTCTACTGGGAAGCACGCCCTCAAGCAGTTCAATCAGCGGAGCACCGAACTCCTAGATCCTGACTAGACCGCCCACGCCCTGCCCTGGCTCTAATGATCTTGGGCCCAAATGAAAAAAGTCCTACAGCATGAATTGAAGGTCTCGAACCGTCAGTTTCTTCTGGTTTAGGGAACTATTCAGAGTACGACGTTTAGGGGGCCAGCTTTTAGCTTAAGCCAGTCCCAATATATGAACTTGCAGTAGAGGCCCAAAAGTTGGAAAACCCAATAGCCTCAATCCTTAAGAGTAATGTAAGGATTTGTCCCTAATCCGGTTTCCAGCTTTTTGGGGTCTACTATAGAGAGTTTCAGCACTCACAGTGTGGGTGCTGAACTTGAAGGATTTAGGGTTTATGGTTTAAGGACCCACAACTTGCGCGCTCAAGCGGCGTAGCCAATCAGCCAGTCCCACTTGCCCGACAGAAGCCACGAAGGAGGCGCGAACTTCAGTGACTTGGAGGTAAGTCTCTCCTAGGCCAACTTGCATGGCTTGGGGTTCAAGGGGTTTGGGGTAAAAGGTTTGGGGACAAGACTTTCAGGATGGTTGAAGGTTCGAGTTTTGTGGGGATCCTCGGATCTTAGAGCAACCACTTCCTGCAGCACGTCTGCATCGCTAAGCGCCCGTTATGCCAGCCTGTTTCAGGGCGTGGCGGCCTGTGTCAATAATTTCGCTACAGACCACAAACCTATGCCGGGAAAGAAGAACATGACCAACAATACGTACGTTTAAGGAAAACGCAATTAGAAACATGGAGGGCTTTTAGGGTTTAGGGATTTAGGGTTTTTGAAAGGACCCAGATGGATTGCTTGAACACAATGCCTGGGCTTCAACACAATGCCCGGCAACAGGAGGTAGTTCAAGTTGCTGGTACTGTTCACAAATTAAGGCAAAGGCGGCGCCAAAAAAGACATTGGAAGTAGCCCTAATTTGAAGAAAGACCTGAAACCCCTAAAACACAGGGTAGTAGGTGGTCTGCCCTCAGCGCCTGCCCAACGGGAGTTTTGGTAATAGTTGATTCTCTCATCCGCACCCCAAAGGGCACGGTTTAGGGTGTAGGGTACCTCGCATGTTAAGAAGCCCCACTGAGTCCACCAAACAATCTAAACCTGCTGGGCAAGTCACAGCTGACACCTCAGATGCTCAGCATCGCCAAGAATCTGAGGGTGCCGAAAACCGCAGACGCTAGGCCCCCAATCGCGCATCAAGTGCTTCGGGCTGCTTCCGGCTCCAGAAATACCAGTTGCTGCAACAGCCTCTGCTCTACCTTAACCCCGACATGTCTGTGAGCCCTCCAAGACTCAACACACATTGGAACAAACCGACAAACCGTGAAACTTAGTCCCTCCATTTTGTGTTCTGAGTTGGAGTGTAGGCGACTGTGACAACCCACAACGACAGCAATCCTTTGAAGTTATCCAGAGGCTCGTCCGGTGCAACATGGTTAAATCTTGGGTACTGCCCCAATACAGTAACAGTCTATAATAGGGCTACTATTAAGGGCCTTTTATATCTCTATTATGAATATTATCCAACTGTTACTGAGTGGGGGCAGTATCCAAGTTAAATCCCAAGAAACCCGGAAAGGCTAACCAGCACCTAGACCCCCCTTTCTAATCTTCAAACCCCTGACTCCCTAAACCTACAAGCTGAAATCCAGAAGATCCCCGAAACCCCAACCAACAAAATGAGCTTCTAGACTGCTCTAATGCCGGAAAGCCACATTCCACACTCGGCACGACTATTATGAAAGTCCGAGAAAGTCCGAGAAGATGAAAGCACAAGCCAACTCCATTCAAGCAGCATAGCGTGTTGCCTTCTCTAGTGAGATGATCTTGATCTGCCAGCCTCCCAAGCCCCTAAACCCTAAACCCTAAAAATTAAACCCTAAACCCTAAACCCCAAAACCCTAAACCCTAGCGAAGCCTGAAACCCAAAGCCTCGCTGAGTCTAAGAGGGTCCTACCCAGACTTCACAGGGAGGTTCAGGGAGTTCATATAGGAGCCTTCATAATTACAATAGGGGTTCCTTTAAAGGGCTCCTTCAAGGCTTTTTTCTAAGGGCTACTTTAATGGTTTAGGATTTAGGGGCCTTAGTAGTTAGAATCGGGTTTTGGGGCCCATTATACTATAGTTATAATACCAAAATAGTACTGGTAATTATTGAAGCCCCTACATTAGGGTGTCAGGGCTCCCATGCAGGCCTTGGGGTTTCAGTCTTTATAGCTTTTACGCGTCTCACTGCTCGCACATGAGAGTTTAGCTTAGTTTTGTTTGAATTTAAGGCCTGAAGCCGTCCTAGAATGGTGAGGTTACGTCGAACAGCCCAAGTCTGGCACTCGCAATGGTGTAGTTCTGTGGCCTGTACAGTGTAAACCTTTCAGCATGAAAGGCAATGATAGGCAGAGGCGCAACCTGGAGCGATGCCCACTGAGCTGCCCTTTCTCTGCAGTATATACTCATGCCAAAGAAGTACTTTTACATCGGCACCCGCCAAAGTACGTGGTGTAAGCGCATCGACACCCAGGGAATTTCTGACTCACCCATGCCATTGTGATCCAAATTCGAAGTGTCAAAGCCAAGCTCCCACCTCTTCAACCACTCCGGGGCTAGGCCCAACGACTCAAAATAGGACTTACGGCTCAGGGCCGGGCGTTGTGTGCTTTGAGGCTGAGTGGGTGATTAAACGATAGGGCCAATATAGGGTTTCAGATCACCCCGATCTGCTGGACCGTGAAGACCTAAGTAACCAACAATCCCTAGGGCTCCAGTTACCTAAATAGTAGGTTACTGGGGTACATAGTATATGGTTAGAACCTACTATTTAGGTAAGTGGAGCCCTTGGGAATTTCAACCCATAACAGACCTACAAGTCCTAGCCTTGACAGAAGCTACTGTCTCATCTTCCGCGCCTTGTCGCTGCCAGTGCGCCAATGCCGCCTGTGTATTGCAGTTATACACCCTTTTCAGCACGGACTGAAGTGCTATAAAGGTCCTAAGCCCTAAACCCTCTCTCTCCCTCTCGCGGACTCAGAGGTCTGTCGGCCGTGCGGTTGTCTAGCACTTCGCCAGACACGGTTCCTTAAACCCTAAACCCTAAAACCCTAGACTATGCACAGGCCCAAGGTGTGCGACATCGAGGCAATGAATGTTTGGGCTGCCGATGCGATCTAGTGGCTGAACCGGCTTTCTGAACATTTTGTGTACAAGACACCTCTACAGCCTCTTCACGCGAAGCTGTAGACCCTCCCTCTCTATCTGTCTTTCTTTCTTTTTGTTCGTTCTTTATTTCTTTCTCTCTATCTCACTCTCCGAGGCACTCAGTCGCTTTTCAGGCCCCTCCCCACAGGGCTGAACCCTGAACTCTAAATCCTAGCTTTGTCATTACCCGAAAGACACACGGGCACCCTGTCTGACCGGACACACACCTCCTGCAGCATGCTTGGGATTCGTGCGTGATGGAGTCCCCCGGTGAACTTCTGAAGTTGGTAGGCATTTACATCCGGGTGAACCCGCCTGAAGCCTCAACCCTACCCTGAAAACCTACATAACTACGGAAGCCGACAACCCAAACACCTTCGCCGGAAGTCCCCGGCAAAATCGAGCTAACCCCCATGTCAGGACCTCAGGGCATGCCATGACATGCCCACACAATCCTTGTTCACTGACACTGGTAGGCTTGAGTATCGGCTGCCCGTAACTCTACAACTCTACATATCACCGTTGAACCCTAAACCCACCCTAAACCTCAAGCCCTAAAAGCCTGAACCCAACCCAGCGATGTGACCAGCTCGAAATGTGTCAGAGTACCCTGCGGCGCAGCTAGCGTTTGCGGCGCGCCTTCGGGGCCTTCCTCTTAGTGGTCGCATCCAGGAACAAGAATGCATCCACCTTAACCCAGAGACTCCAATAGCCCTTAATTCAGGAATATATACCTGAAATTACAGTAGGATCCCTAAGATGATTTAAAGTATATTCCTTAATTAAGGGATATGAAACAACCAGTAATACGGGAGTCTGTGCTACTAGACCCCAGGAAGCTACACAAATTGAGCTTTGGAGGCTCGACAAACGTCACAATAGAATAGAACATGGGCACTCAAGCCGTACATCCTATGCTGCACAACCTGACAAGGAAGCAAAGTTGCATGAACGGCGTGGGAAGTTTTCATCCGAGCAAAGCTACATAGGCTGAGAAGGATTGCCGTGACTTGGGGGGGCGTAAACTCGTACGCCCTCTGCCTCGCGAGCCCTAAACCAAAACTTTCACTTTGAACCTCAGAGTTGTAGTCCTTCAGTGCAGCAGAGCTGCGTTCGATGGCACCTGGGCAACGTCAAATCTTTTCGTTTCGTTTCTAACCACTTTTTCACTGTGACATACATAGACACACACACACACACACATACACACACATACACACACATACACACACATACATACGTACATAGACACACACACACACATATATATATATATACAGAGAGAGAGAAACATACTGATAAATACGGAATGTTTGCATGCATTCAGGCATCTACCCGTGTATTCCTGTGGAAATCCTGAACCTGCCGGAACATCCAAACACCTAATAAACCCTAATAGGGACCCAAAAAAGCACATAAGCAAAAATTAGGATGGGGATATCCCATATAAATCCCCTTATAATGAAGCCCAATAAGGTAGGGATATCCCTATAAAATGCATATGCCTATGTCCTTTTTGGGTTCCAACCTAACCTCCATGACAAAGTTCAAGGAGCCAGCGGGAGCTGAATCTCTCTCCTACACGTCCTACGCTGCAATCAACGATGAGGGACCGACAACAAAACAGACTTCCATGCGAAACAGCCGAGTACTAAATAGCTGTGAACTGCTCCAAGAGTCCTCAACAGCCCTGCCCCATCCCAAAAGCCCCACAGATAAGGAGTGTCTACCCTCAGCCTTTACGTAGGCTATCAAACTTACAACAGCCCTTGACGAAAACATCACCGAAACTTGAAGCCTTAGGATGCCCCGATCCACACCACAACGGCCCTTCAAGAAGAGCTGATTTGAAGAATCCTTAAACCCGACAGCCCACACCCGGAACCTACGCCCAAAACTCCCTCAGCCCCTTTTACACAGGCTTGATTGAGCTCGCCCGGCCAATGTCCCTAAATCCTAAACCCTAAAGTCCCTTACCCTTTCAGCCAGGGAGCACAAGGTACTTGCCGACTACGCGGCTCCTCGTAGCCCCCGACGTTGTAAGTGTAGACAGCGGCGCCTTTGCAGATAGTTGTGGCTTAGGGTTTAGGGCTTTTTCAAGGTTCCGTCAGGGTCTCTCTTATGGTTGCTTGTACTTTAAGGGCGTAGGGCTCAAGGTGTTCAGATTTAGGATTGCAAGTATTAGGTCAGGAAAGAACCAGGTTATGCACACCGCGAGCAAACCAACGTCCAAAGTTAGCTTACACGACGTGTCTTGTTCATTGTTCATGGGTAGAGGTTTGGGTCGTATAACCCTAAGTTCTAACCCGAAACCGGGATGGGACATGGGGTTTTCGCTGGGAGCAGTCGGACTTCAGGTTGATGATTCCTCAACCTCAAGACTCCAAGTATACGAATAGTACCTGCTTTGGGGTCATAAGGTCTACCGCACCTAGTCCTGGGATACTTGCAGTCTTAAGTAAAAAGGGGCTGGATCTCATAAGCCCTGTAGGGGATCATTAACTCCCTGCAAGAGCTTTCAACAAATGTCTGAGGTCAGTGCGAACTGGCGAAGTGTCCTCCGGCTCTCGCGATCCCTCACTGCAGCGAGGATTTCTCCTGACGGCTCTAGCTTTGGAGAAGAGGGTTTAGGGTTTAGGGTTTAGGGTTCAAGGTTTAGGGTTTAGGGTTCAGGGCTTTTGTGTAGGTGCTCGTGCTTTCACATCATTCAAATCGCTGTGCAAATAGACGGAAAGGACCAAGTGCGCACCCACACATGTAAGTAAACACAGCGATGCATCCATATCATGTCTCTTCTGCTCGAGTACTCACACTACCACCATCTACATATCGATCTACCTATCTATCTAGAGTCTTATCTACCGGTCCGTATAGACATATGAAAATACAAACACCAAAAACACCGGCAAATCAATATACATAGAAGGATGGCGGCGCTGTGGGAAAAGGACATTTTTCGTCCCTTAGAGGTTCCGGTGGATGTTACTCCATTAGGGCTTAGGGTTTACCTGCAGTTCCTTTTTGGGGCTACCCTGCAAAATCCTTGATATATAATTGGTTAAACCAGAGAAAGGAACTACAATGGAGACTATAGGTAGGGTTCTAGATTCATCGTTTCTCTTAGGGTTCAGCCCGGCGACTCTAGCCCTGCAGTCGCAAGCTTTCAAAGGTGTTTTCAGTCCTGGTTTGCCAACTTTTTTCCTAGGATCCTGCAAAAGACACCCAGGTAAGCCACAACAAAAGAACTGCATTACTACATTGGAGACTATGGCCCCTAAACCCTACACCCTACTACGGAACTTTTTGAACACGCGGTCCTGGCTCCACAGTTGGGGACGCCGCTACCCAAACTCAGCTCCAGCAGCGACGTCGGGCTCGGCCTGCGCTGCAAGGGGATGTAGGCTAGGGTTTCCTTTCTGTGGGGGTTTAGGGTTTAAGGATTACGAAGCAGGCTCAAGTTCAGAGCTAGTTGGAATCTCGGGGAAGAACATCAACCCCTTCTTCACACAGGCTTGGGTGGAGCTCGCACGGCCACGTTCCCCGCAGCCCATCGCTCTCGTGGCCGAGATGGGCAAGGCTAAGTACGTACGATCCTCACTATCTTACACCCTTAAACCTCACATGGTTGCAGGAATGTCGAAACGGACTGATTATAGGATTCAATTCGAGCTCTCGGACATAGGAAGTGAAGCCCAAGTGGCTCTGAGACAGCTCGACGAATGAGAGGCGCAGAAGCACCTGAAACGGCAATCGGGTTTCTAGCACTTCTGTACCTTTACAGGCGGCTCAGGGCTTGTAGGGCTTGTAGCGCTTGAGGATTGGTGGCGGGAGGCGGCGTTTGTGGTTGGAATGTTGAAGAGTTCCGCGGTTTTCTGGCACCAGCGAGGTTCCAATCAGGTGACTTCCCCTCGTGTTCAGTTGGTCATGAGGGGACTCTCCGGGCCTTAGGGTTTAGGGTTTAGGGTTTAGGGTTTGAATGGGGTGTTGGGGTAAATCAAACAGTTTTAACAAGCAAATTGGACTTATTTCGGCTTCTACATTATCTGGGATCAATGGAATTAAGGTTCTTTTTTAGGCTTTCCAGGCTCTGACGTTCGGTTCGTGCGAGGAGCCGACTACTTCAAAAAGAGATCTCGGGAAAACCTTTGCATAAACTTGTAAGACCTTCTCCAAAGGAAGGAGCCGCACAAATAGATGCTGAATAGCAAGATCCTTGTTGTCATTCACAGTGTGAAGAGGACAATCGGGCAAAAAAGGAAGCAAGCTAGCGATACTAAGTTAATGATAGCAAACAGCAGCAGAACGAACGAGAATAGCAGCAATACATCTAAGCTCATTAACAACAAGAGCTGCATTTGAATAATTAAAGCCTCTGAGATTTCCGAGATGGCAGGTGAACTGCTGTCGGGCTGTGGCATGCCGGTAGGATCCTCAATGCTCAACATCGCCACGAAAGCCTATGGACCCTAAAGCTTATGAGCCTCAACATCCGGTACAAGAGCAAGCCCAAAAAGGGACCAGCACCTTTGGCGTTGCACGCCTTTTGCATCGAAGAACCGACATATCTGCTGAACACCCCTAAACTCTTGCAGGTCCTAAACCAAAATCGCACGACAAACCCCACCGACCTGCAGCTGCCCGAAGAGTTACGAGCAGTTGCAACGCATGCCAGAGCCTCCGCCAGCTTCGTACACATGCTGCAGGATTCTTGAGACGGTTCTGCGGTACATTATAGTTGAAGTACAATAAGGAGCCCCGAGATATAGCTTTGATAACCATCTGTTAGGCTAGAGGCGTAGAGGTTGAAGGTTCAGGGTACTTAGTCGCGAAGCCTCAGGATGGAATTGCGCAGCCCCTTACAGCAATGGTAATAGCAACAATACCTGTAGTCTCCATTGTAGTTCCTTTTATTGGTTTAACCATTTTAATACTAAGGATTTTATAAGGTACCCCAAAAAAGGAACTACAATGGAGACTATAGGTAGGGTACTGACAAGATGGGCTGAGTCATGGAGAGTGGAAAAGCTTAACCAATTATGCCTGGAAGCAGAAGCTCAAAACAGCAGGTCAAGCGCAAGACTACTCGCAACTGCGACGACGACGATGACGACTGCTCCTGCTGTGCCTGGAATCAGTACGATTATGGACCGGTTTGCGGAGATTGCATAATGGTTTTATTGAACAGTGCTACTCCTGAATATGACTAAACATGACTACTCTTGCTATTTCCATTAATGCCGTTGCTGTCATGCCAATTAAATCTGTGCCTACCATCCCTATACTACAGTTTGTCAAACGAGGAACATCAAACCTTTTTCAAAAAAACAAGATCGACAACAGCAGAAAGAACCACCGCTTGCAATGCTAGCAGTTATCACAACAAGCGTCATCGCAACTCTTATCCCGCAGACGACAACCAAATCCTAGCTGAGTGCCGCCAAGATGCATGGTTCGCCCTCACCGAGTTCGTGGTGGCAGTGAAAGACACGCCCCGTCTTTGTTGTTAATTACGCATCTGAATCTTAACATTCCGGACTCCTGATAGTCCTTGATGTTTCAGCAAAGGTTTTGGGCTCGTGGCTGGAGGCTGTGAAAGGCGGCATTAACGACTTAAAGTTTCTTGATTCCCCTGTTGCCGCCAAAAACCTACAATCTTCAATCCTACTTCTGGAGGCCTCGACACCTCCTTGCTCCCCAACAAGTTGGGGAATATAGACAGGCCTGACCTGAGAAAAACTGCGGAAAACAGCTGCCGTTCATAAGAACAAGCTTGAATTTCAAGGCGGTGTCTTTTCCTCTCAATGACAGAGGATTCGAAGGGTTTTTTGAGGGGGCTTTAGGAATAAAACATTGCGAAGGTTTCAGGCTCAACTATCGGGTTTAGGGCTGTAAAGGTCCAACCCTACCCATGGAAAGTGAAGTGCCTGTTTACTGAACCAACACGAAGGCCTTTGCAGTGATGTCTTTCGAGTCAACAAGAACGCTGCGGTTTGACGGGTTGAAGGAAATCTGAATCCCAAATTCAGCCTCTCGGAAGCCATCCTCAAACATAAAGCCATCCAAGCGGACATCCCGATATCTTGGACGTGAAACCCGAAGCCCTGATAATCCATTCAGTCTGACAGTCTTGACAACATATAAGGCCATTAGGACTTTTGCTCTACAGGCTTCATTAGATTACCTTAA